ACTTCTGTTTGCAAATTTTTAATTTGTTTATCTAAATAAATCGGTTGATTAGTAAAGATAAGATTTATTTAATAATTTGACATTAATTTAATTTTGTATCTTTTTCAGCCATTATATCAACTTCCCATGCTAGTGGGAAATGGATAGATAATAATGATAATAATCTTCTAAGCAATTGTCATGCTGAAGTGGAGGTTAATGAAGATTCTATACCAGGTGATGTTGAACAAAGCTTTACTTTCTGAATTTCTAATGAAACCTGGGAAGATTCTGAAGGTTGCCGTGAATATAAAGATTGCTATAATGGCGAAGGTTGTTATGATTATAAAGATTGCCATGATTGTAAAGGTTGCCATAATCATGAAAGTTGCCATGATCATGAAGGTTGCTGTGATCGCAAAGGTTGCAAAGATTGCAAAGGTTGCGAAGACTACAAAGATAACGAAAGCTGTTTTCTATAGGATTTTTTTTCTAAAGTTTTTCTTGTTTGTTTGAACATTTTTGATTTTAGATTTTGTTAAAAAAGATATATTTATATAAAATTATTCATATTATAAAATTATATTTTTGATATATTACATGATTTTTTGACTATTTGTTTTTTATTTTTTAGATATTAAAGTGAGGCAATACTCATAATCTTTATTAATATAGTAAAGTCAACTTGTACATGATTAATAATAAGATATTAATTATATTGCTATAGATATTAGTCTACCACCTATATAAGATAGATATATTATTGAAAAACCTTTGAGCAAGGAAAACTTGAGGAACTATCTATCATGAAAAAATAAAAATAAAAAAAAACATTTCGGGCAAGATCACCATTATGTGTTTAAGTATTGAAAAGAGTGTTATTGATATGTAAGTATTGTAATTGCTATTAGATATGATTCCTGATTCTCTCCATATGAGATCAGTCAGACATTGGCGTTGTGCAAGCCACATGTAACTTTTAGATTTGTGTTGTATTTGAAGATATGAATTGTGGTTGTTGTATGATAATTGGTCAGTTTTTATATTTGTGAATTGAGTATTGATACCCATTCCAGTATTATATTGTGTTGTTTTGTTGTTAATAGTTGTTGGAGCCATACTGGAACCTGCGCAGGACACTGGTTACACGCTCTCCCAATCCAGTAGGTTGTTGTATTGTTTTGAAATGAGTGTGTGATACGAGATGTGATTGGTGTTTTGTGTATCATAGATCTTTTGATGAGGGTAAACTGATTTCAGTTTTTTATGTAAGAAAATTTTTTGTGAGAGTATTAAGAGATTTTGGATATGTGATATTGGCAAGAACTAATGACTAGCCAGAGGATATGGAGAATCTTTCACTAGTCATTATCAGTAGAAAACAAAAACTCTGAAAAAATAAAATACCGTCTCTTGTGAATATTTAATTTGAGTATTGTTTTGGTTATATTTTAAAGATTGTGATTATTTGGTGTGAGGAAAGGCTTAAACATGAAAAAGTTTTTTATTTATCTTCTAACGGCCAAGCTATTTGACCAATACCTTGCAACAGGTACTAGATCTTCTTGAGTGGAGCCAGTTACATCCTTCCTGGAGAATCATTACTGGAACTCTGCTACTCAATAGCAGTTCTTAGGATTATATTTCCCCTCCCCAAAAAATATAATCCATTAGTCAAAGTTTCTTGGGAGAAAGAAGATTTCCTAAAAAGGCAATTTTCACGAAAGGAGTTGTTTGTGGGAAAGAGTTTTTTTTTGCTAATGATATTCTTATTTACAAAACCAGTTAAATTCAATATTTTTTTGTACAGTATAGATTGTTGTATTACTTAACCATAAAATACAGTATATTAAACATATATCCACCAATTAAATTTTACCTTTTTATTTTATATAAGCTTTTCATATTTTGTGTCATTTTTAAAAAACGTTTATCACTTGTTCTATTTTTTTTAAAAACACTGCTGATATAATATCACAACTATTAAAGGTAATCAAGTATGATATTATTATTCTTGGTACAGGCTTAGTCGAATCAAATATTAAAGTATGTATCATGGTGCATTGGTAAGAATAGAAAAGTCCATTTTGCATCTGAATGCAAATGGACTGTATAGTAAAAGTTGGTGCTTACTCAACTTTCGAAAATTCTGGACTGGATTTATAGCATACAAGATAGTTCACTTGATTTAGTTTTTAATATCTTGTATTCTAAAATGTGAAATTGATAGTTCTTATATGTAAAACTTTTTTAGATCCTATTAATTCAGTTGACAAAAGTGATCAAGAAAGTAATACAACATATTGGCAAAGCTATTACCTCCCCCTTCCTTTCCCCCTTCCTTTTTTTTTTTTTTTTTTCCCCCCCCTCCGATTTTTTATAAACCACATCCAAAATAATAATAATAATAAAAAATTTTAATATAAACGAGTAAAAACAAAATATAAAAAAATAAATAAATTAGACGTCTATACCAACGAAGATTTTTAACAATCAAGCAACAACACTCCCACTTGACCCCGAAATAGTTTGCTTAGCATGGATGCCGACTAACTTCAGAAACTCTTGAACAACATTACCTAATTATTCGAACGAGCTACAACTGACATCATCAACAGCAGTAGGAATGGTGTAGTAGAGGTGAAACCGGGACGTTCATCGGGAGTCTCGCATGTCGCAAACGAAACCCAAAACAGAATCCTAGAGGTGAGGAATGATCATCAAGGCAAGATCCGGGAGAATGACATAGCTACAAAACCAATTAAGGAGGAACCAAAACATACTTGTGCGGAGATTCGAACAGCTAGTAATAAAGACGCCAGAGTGTCAAGTGAGAGGAAGCAAGTGGAAGCACCCAAAGGCAACGAGAGGGACGTCAAAATCATGGGAGCTGGAAGTGAATCGAAAGGTGATGAAAAGTCAGTGACCCCGGATCAAAGGGTGGTGTGTTGCGAAAAGAAGGGAACAGAAGATAATAACCCTGCGGAGACAAAAGAAGAAATAAGGTTTGACTCTTGGGATGATAAGGACAAAATAGTGACAGTGCCAGTTGGTACTATCATAACCAAGAAATGCAAAGAACCTAGTAGGAAGGAATCTGACCCACGCAAAGCAAGATTGGGTTGTCGCAATGATGATATCATACTTGCTGAGTGAGAAACCCACGAGATTGAATTAAATCGTCTTAGCAGCCATGATAGTCCCACTAATGGTGCCGAAAGTGATAATGATCATGATGGAAGACATATCACAGAAATCGTCACAGACTATCGTGATCAAGGAGAAGGAAATGACACCGCCGAACGAGTGAAGCCAATAAACCCCGAACCTGTCCCCAGGAGAACTCCATTAGCACACTGAGAAATAGAAGTACTACGGAATGGGCGAATCTGGAAATGGTGGCAAAAGAAGGGAGACGATGAAATCACTATAATGCATCTGATTAAGAGCACACCCATGAATATATGGATAAATGCGCCTACGGTGAAACAATGGAGCTGTACCACTATGTCACACCGTAAAGCTGTTGGATGAAGAAAAGGTTGACAGAACACATAGTGATATGCCAACGGAGGTTAAATTCCGGAGGACATAAGCAATGCAACACTTACTGCCTCAAGCCGAGTGAACCCTATAGATGGAAGTTCCACCCAGAATATTTTGAAGAAAGGTACAGGATTATGATGACGGCGCATAGAAGAAAGAAAGTTGCTAAAAATGAACCTAATCTTAGGAACACCAACTTGCGATAAAGGAAAAATATGTGAATTCTCATCACAAGTGGTGGTTATGGAGAACACGGAAGAAAGAAGTCCTACCAGAGGTAACATAATGATCACGTGATCTGATAATAATCTACTTGTATCGAAAGAAGATCAGATAAAGAAAGAGAGGATGAATATTCATATAACTAAGAAAGTCAAGAACTGGACGTCATCAGTAATCTATCACCGACTACAGCATGGCCCATCGCGAATTAACCAGACAGATTATCCGATGGGACAAAAAAGAAGAGGGGAAGAAACAAAATTTCGTGGAGAAAACAAGTAATAACAAAAACCTTGCCTTACCTGTGTTTTAATCAAGATCCGACCAAGATATCCGACCTGACAACCTGGAACATCAAAAGAAAAAGACTATCCACCCAACGACCTACCGATGACTAGTATGCCTTGCCAAACATTATCGTGAGGAACAAATTCTTGGAGAATTCGATGTCTAATTTGATAATACGTGTGGCATGCGCATTTTTAGGAGGGGATAAACTGTTATAGGGGAATAAGTGATGATTCGTCATGCAATGCTATATCAAGTATCGCAATACAAACAGGTAGGATAAAGAGAATAATTAGGATAAAGAGGATAATTGGGATAATTGGAATAAAAAGGATAATTGGGATAATGAAACATATATAAATATACTTAGTCTTCGTTCTAATAAAGTCAGCAAGTGTGCTTATTTTAATTATCGTAAAACTTTATCTGTGTGATAAACCCTGTGTGTTCTATAACTTGGTGTTATAGTTTCGTTTTGCCATGATCCCGTGACCGATGAATGAAGATCGACCAAATCTAATCACCTCTTTCGCCTACAAGACCAGAAGGAAGAAGAGCATTAGTACCGACACAAACCAATGAGCTAAACAGTGCAAAGTGAGCCTACTTAGCTGTTGTGTGACATGCTGTGACCAGACCTGTGTGTGAGTGACCGACTTGCCGTTTCTCACCATTACAATATTATACTTCACTATATGTTATTAGGAAAATAAATTATATGATAATAAGTTTGTATATAGATTATTAAAGATCACTAATATTATTGGTTCATGAGATTACAAATCCATTATAGTGAAATTTTTATATATGTTCAATAACATAATTTAGTCCATAACCGTTATAAAGAATTATTATATAAAAATTCATAATAGTGAGGGAAAACAAATAATTAAATTTTTGTTCCAGTAAAATATTCCATTATATTGAGGGATCCAGTTAAATGAGGTCCATTATAACGAGAGTGCACTATATACTAAACAGAATTTTAATTCTATATATAAAATACAGAGCACAACATTGTCTTTTCAATTTCAACATAGCACATGCTCTTATAGCTCAACTTTGAATGATACTGAAACATATGACCAATATAACCAAAACAATTTCTAACTCAATTATATCCACAAAGCATTGTATAGACTAAAAAATGTTAATGAAATTTAACTAGAAAGTCAAATTTTTAATTTTATCAGTCTGCTTAATGGTACTGGACATTCCAATACATCAATAATCATTTATCTCAAATAAGTTCAAATTCAGTAATGGGAATCTACAAATATATTGATAAAAAAAACAATATAAAAACAGTCAAGAACTAATTTGGTAGCAGCCATTCTCAAAATAGCAAACAATATAGGAATAACATATCTAAACTCTCAATGGAAAGATATTTTGCAATAGAAAGGAGATGCTTTTTTAATTAAAACACTGCTTAATAACCAGACAATATATAATTAGGCCATCAAATTCATGAAAAAGTACAATATTATGTATATTGATCAATTTATAAAGAAGAAGACAGATATTTTTTTAAGTTAAAAGTTTATTCAGTCTAGTTATAGCCATAATAGAGAGCCAAAACCTTATTGATATAGCAAAATCTAGAAATTGATAGTCAATAAATTTGGAGTTCTCAATTCAAACTGGCAAGACAAAATAGATAAAACAAGAAAAAAATATCTTTTCTCCAGTTTGGCAGCAGGATGCAAGAAAATAGAAATGACAAGTACATTAAAAAGAAAATAATAATCTTGTTTGATACAGATTCAAAAAAACAAATAACTATGCTACATAAGAAATAGAGTTTTACCAAACCATTAGTACAAATACAGGAATAACATAACTTACTCAAATCAGTTTGAATCTATTAAGCTCTTATAGAAACAAGTTCAAACTCTTATTTAATTGGTTAAATAATATTACAAAACAAAGGAAAAGCAAGAGTCATGTATTTCTATAAAGGCTCATATACTTAAAAACTTAACTAGATCAAAATTCGAGTTCACAGCTAATTCAAAATCATATATGTTCAAACTTATAGGAATAAATATAATCGACTATGGGCTACAAATTATTCAAGAAAATATTGAAATAACTAACTTGAGCCAAGAGCTATGCAAGAAGTACAAGCTTAATGTGAAAGGGAAATTGTATGGTCACATGAGTCTATGCAATGATGATCCTAAAAATGACAAATCTGAGAAAAATGAAA